ACGGTACGCTTTTGTTGGTTGGCTTCCAGGGAAACCACGAGGGCAACGACCGTTTTGGGTTTGAGGGCGGGTCGTCCTGGGGGCTACGTTTTTCAGATTCCGCTGCGTTTGTTTCCTCTGACTCGCTCCTTGTGTAGCTATTCTGAGTTTCAGTTACAATTTTAGTCACAATTTTAGTTGAACTTGATACATACACGAAGTAGAATTCATAAGAAATAACTTCGAGTTCTTAAACTTGTTAAGCACACGTTGCTTGGATGTCTACTGGGTGTCGCTTGAAAACCCCAAAGCGCCAGGTTTCGCTTTAAAACCCCAAAGCACCAGGTCTCCCCCTGAAACCAAGCCACAAAACCCCAAGCCAGAAACGAGCGAGAAACCGAGGGCGCGGAAATTTTTCGCTCCCTGGGAAGGAGGACTCCAGCCTGGACGAGGGCCAGCGCATCGAGGTCTCCGGCATCTTCCACCCATTGGGCTCCATTCCTTTGGAGGGCTCCAGGCTCGCTCGCTCCGGCGGCGCTCGCTCGCTGCGGGTGGGTCTGCGTGGGCTGGGCTGAACTTGACTACTGGGCCCCAACTTACCGTTTCTTGCTGGGTTTCAAAGGGACACCCAACGGACACCAGCCATTTTTGGGGGTGGCCTATTTGACTAGGTCCCCCAGCTAGGTGCCCTTTTGCCAACTTTTGCCGTTTCTTTTTTGGGGGAGGGGTCCCCCTAGTAAAATAGACAGAAGAAAGGGTACCCTTATTCAAGCCTCTGTACTGGAGGACCTAGTTGACATAAAGCATGGTACCGAAACAGTGGTCGTGTTTAAGCCGGGGAAACTTGACATAAATTAGACTACCGAGATTATACCAGGTGCAACAGTAGCCCAAAGGGCTCCGTCTTAGGTCACAAGGAGATGGTCAATTGTAACCATGGTGGGGTGCTTCGGGTTCCATGTTAAACTGTCGCTCATGTTGGGGTACACGACATATATGGGCAAACGCGACGCCGCTGATCAAGGTTTCTTTCAAAGACATCCCTTAAGTTCGATTGATGGGATACTATGATTTGCCCTGACATTACATTGTTTGGGGTAGACTAAATGTGGGCCAGAACCTGAGCATATGTTTTGCGTGTACCCAAGATTAATGCCAAGCAAAAGCCAAGTAACGGCTTCTGTTGAGCCAAAAGAGGCTCACCCCTGCAACAAGTCAACGCATTGCTGCGGGTTTCCTTTTTCGACAACCCGAAAAGGGTTCCCCCAAAGTCCGGTTCTCCCCAAGCAAAAGATGGAATCTTTTGGGCTGCCTAGGAGTTCCCTCCCAAACCAAATCAATGGTTTCCTTGAGGAAGCACACGCCCAACACAGGGTGATGTCCGAGTCAAACGAAAGTGTCCCTAAAGCGCACCGGACAAGGGCTTCCCCAAACTGTGAAACTGGGGTCTTTGCTTGCCGAAGTTCCGATTTGTTTTGCACAAGTTGAAGCTCAAAGACGTTCATTTTACCCCCCCCCCCACCCTCCAGGCAAACGGGTGCTAAGCCAGACATGTTCTTCTTTTGAGGGGTACCTTTTCACCCCAAACAGGCGAAGCCAACTAAGAAATAAATAAATAAATAAATAAGCCAAACAAAGGCAAGGGTAGTAGCCACGAACCCGAATGCAGATCAACTGCCCTGAGCTACCGTTGTGTGAGTGATGCTTGTTGACATTGATTCAACTATCCATCTGCCTGCCTATTCATCCGTGCATCTCTTTGCGCATCTGTTTACCTACTCTACCTGTGTATTTGTTTATCCGTTTGTCCATCTTCGCATGTGCAGATCTTTCCACCTATCTATCTAAACGACTACCTACCTGCCTACCTATCTATCTTTCTATCTAATCTGATGTAACCCAATGTAATCAAATATATCGATCTATTCGAATCTATTCAAGGTATCCATTTTTCTGTTTAGTTTGATATGCCTTTCTAGTCTAGTCTAGGCTAATCTAGCCTATCCGTCTATTGGTTCTAATCGAATCTGTCTATCGAGCTGTCTCATCTATCTATATAATCTAATCTAATCTAATCTACTGTAATCTATCTAGTAAAATATATCTATCTATCTATATATATATATATATCTGTCTATCTATCTATCTATCTATCTATCTATCTATCTATCTGTCTATCTAGTATATCTATCCTATCATATCCTATCCTATCCTATCCATGGTTCTATCCATCTATCTATCTATCTATCTATCTACCTATCTATCTACGTATCGTATCTTATCCTATCTTATCTTATCTTATCCTATCCATCTAATCTATCTGTCTATCTATCTATCGAATCTAATCTAATCTAACTATATATTCTAATCTAATCTAATCTAATCTAATCTAATCTAATCTATCTATCTGTCTGTCTAATCTATCTATCTATCTATCTATCTATCTACCTACCTACCTAATCTATCTATCTATCTATCTATGTATCTATCTATCTATCTATCTATCTATCTATCTATCTATCTATCTATCTATCTATCTATCTATCTAATCCTATCTATCTATCTATCTATCTATCTATCTATCTATCTATCCATCCATCCATCCATCTATCTATCTATCTATCTATCTATCTATCTATCTATCTATCTATCTATCTATGTGTGTCTATTTATTGATTTTGTTTCTTTCTTGCTTTATTTGTTTCCTTTTTTCCGAAAGCATTGCGAAGGGTTCTTCCGTGCGGAGCTCTTCGTCAACTTGCGCAGAGTAGCTTGCACAGAGTTATGGAGATGCCAGCATGGAGATACTTGCACAGAGTCACCAGCATGGAGATACTTGCACACAGTCACCAGCATGGAGTCACCAGCATAGAGTTACTTGCGCAGAGCCAAGTGCAAAGAGCCAAGCGCATAGAGCCAAGTGCTCAGAGCGAAGTGCAAAGAGTGAGGTGCAAGGAGCCAAGTGCTCAGAGCGAAGTGCACAGAGCCAAGTGCAAAGAGCGAAGGCATCGAGCCAGGTGCATAGAGCCAAGTGCATAGAGCTAGGTGCATAAAGCTAAGCTAAGCTAGGTGTAGAGGCTCGGCGGTAGCAGCTTTGTAAGCTATTAAGTACGTTAGGTTAAGTACTTAACGCGCGGGAAAGAAAGAGAAAGAGCTCGGTATTAAGAATCTCTTTTAAGGGATGTTGCCGACGATCGGGAATGCGACCCTTTGCGGGGATCGGCTTGGTCGAGGTGAAAAACTCGAAGTTTGCGGTGCCCGCGCGACCCTCTGTGGGGATCGGTGTGGTCGAGGCGCAAAAACTCGAGGTGTTTTGCGTTTTTTGATATGCCCGCGCGACCCTCTGCGGAGATCGGCGTGGTCGAGGTGCAAAAACTCAAGGTGTTTTGCGTTTTTTGATATGCCCGCGCGACCCTCTGAGGAGATCGGCATCGTCGAGGTGCAAAAACTCGAGGTTTTTTGCTTTTTTTGCGGTGCCCGCGCGACCCTCTGCGGGGATCGGTGTGGTCGAGGCGCAAAAACTCGAGGTGCTTTGCGTTTTTTTGCGGTGCCTGCGCGACCCTCTGCGGAGATCCTGCGTGTCGAAGCGCTCTCGCTGTGGCGCCGTGCTTTTTTGTTGCTCGCGAAATGGCCGCCTGCTTTCGCAATCGCAGTCGCGGGTTCGATTCCCCCCCTGGTCCGCGGCAGCTCCGGCTTGAAAATCGCAGCTTTTAAGTACAAACGTAGTACGCGGAGCGTGCTCCTGCAGCTCCGGGTAAAAAATCGCAACTTTTAAGTACAGACGTAGTATGCGGAGCGTGCTCCCGCAGCTCCGGCTGGAAAATCGCAACTTTTAAGTACAAACGTAGTACGCGGAGCACACTCCCGCAGCTCCGGCTGGAAAATCGCAACTTTTATGTACAAAAAAAGTACGCGAAGTACATTCCCACAGCTCCGGCAGCACTTGCGCAGAGCAACTTGCGCAGAGTCACTTGCGCAGAGCAACTTGCACAGAGCACTTGCACAAAGCACTTGCGCACAGCAACTTGCACAGACCAACTTGCACAGAGCACATGCGCAAAGCGCTTGCACGGAGCAACTGGCGCAGAGCACTTGCGCAGAGCAACTTGCTCAGAGCACTTGCGCAGAGCAACTTGCACAGAGCACTTGCGTGCAGCAGCTTGCGGAGAGCAACTTGCGCGCAGCAGCCTGGAACAATGCAGCTTGTGCAGACCACTTTCGTGAGAAATCGCGCGGCGCAGTTTGTGCAAAGCACATTGCGCCTAGCAGACTCGTGCAGAGCCAACTTGCACAGAGCCAGTTGCGCAGAGCCACTCGCGAAAAGTAGCTTGCGTAGAGCCAACTTTCACAGAGCCAAGCTGCGCAGAGCCTTGCGCGAGCGTGCTTTGCAGAAACTGTGGCCGTCGTGTAAGCTTTGCTATTGATTGCTTTTCATTTTGCTTGTAATTCGTTTCGAGCTTTACGAGCTTTACTCTTCTTGTTTTAACGGATGTAAATATGTGGGATCGAGCACTGCCATGTTTCCTCTCGTGAGATGGAGCTCTCATGTGACCATACACATTGAGCATCGCCGCGTGCAGACACGTCCACGCCGGCGTGCAACGCGTCCTTCTGGCACGCCTGCGCCTCGAAGACGAGGGGGGCAGCTTGGGGCTCCGTGCGTACTGCTCCATGACGCCGGGCGCCACTCGGCTCTCCAAGCTCGTGCTGCGCGCTCTCTCTCAGCGTCTTCTCGCTGTCCGCGGCTGGATAAGCACCTGGGGAAAAATGCTTTCGGGCCAACCGTCCTCTAGTTTTTTGTCTTTCTTTCTTTTATTGCAATCTTTCTATCTCGATCTATCAAATCTATCTATATGTGCATGTATCTTTGCATTGGTCTGTGAACGTTTTCTTTGATGTATCAATGCCCCTGCGGGTCGTGCTCCAAAGCGCTGAGCCCGCCAAACAAGTCAATGCGCGACCCTCTGAAGTGCCGCGCCTGCCACGAAATCAACACGACGTGTTCCAAAGTGGGTGTTGGGAATGAACCACTTGGGGATTCCCGAACGGAAACCATGGGTTGGATGTTTTTTTGGATCGTTTTGTTTCTCATACCAGCTGCTTGGGCTTCTTGAGCAAACCACGAAGCCAACGGTCCAAAAGTAGGACTTGGACGGGCGTCTTCAAAGTAGGGCGACTTTGGGAAAACGGAATCGTTCAATATCTAATGGATCCAACCCTCTTATTTATGATCATCCACACAATCAGAACATCTACCAAATATTGGTTCTCCTCTAGAATACTTGTTTTCGTAATATCCCCTTTCTTTGATCTGTGGCTGCAATGAAATGCGCAAGTGAGCCTCCAAAATATTGCACCACGGAAATCAGCACCTCCTGTGAGACGTGCTCCAAAGTGCTGCGCCTGTCACGACACCCCAAAGTACTGCGCTGCCGCGCAAATCAAGCTCTGGTCAGACGTGCTCAAGTGCCGCGGCTGCCACGTCACCCTCAAAATATTGCGCCACGGAATCAGAGCCTCCGGCGAGGACGTGCTCCAAACTGCTGCGCCTGCCACGGAATTCAACGCGCGTCCACCCAAAACCTGCCACGGAATTTGATCACAGCGCTCCAAAGTGCTGCACCTTTCCCACAAATTAAGTTTCAGACGGAGCAAAGAACGTTCAAAGCGTTGCGCCTGTCACGAATTTCATTTTGACACGTTTCCGACGCGTGTCAGAAATTAGCACGGCACCGCGAGCTCGCCAAACGAGTCGATTGTACCATAGGGCCAGCGGGAATGACACGTGCGCAAACACTTGCACGCGCCTGTCAAGTAAGACACCTCAAAACGACCAGCCCTGAGATGCAAATCGCAACGGCACGGTGGCCTTCCAAAACGCTGCGCTTGCGCTTCGCAGTTTTCAACCCCCACACCTCTTTCTATGACGGGAATGCTTCTGCTATGCTCTCGGGATCAAGGGTCGGCATCTGGATCGATCCAGTTGCGATCGTTTGTTCCATCCACTTCAACATCCAAACACCAGCAGTGACTGAAAACAGTTGGCGATCTAGGCACTTCTATATACAAAGCTTTGGTGCATTTGGCTTGGATGCTAGGACTTTAACTTTTTGCCAACTAAAGGGTTTTCCGCTAAACCACTAACAGTTGGACTTCTAGCAGGGGAGCGGAAAGCAACCGAGAAAGGGTCGCCTTTCTTTTCCTTTCTGGGCAAATCGGGTGTTGGTGATCTTGGGCTCTGTGGTTTTTGGCTGCGAGGCTCCCGGCGCCCTTCATGACCAAGCGCTTCTCCAACTCTTCGGACGGCAATTGCGGCCCGCCCTCGCTCTCCTCAGGCGCGGAGAGGGAGCGAGCGAAGAGCGGAGAGCGAAGACAAGGAAACCGAAGTCGAAACCCCACATGGCCATGGGCTTTTCAAAGCCCAATCGTACCCCCAGTGAACATCCCAAGGCTGGTGGATTCACGTACCAAGCAAAATGGTACCATTGGTTTTGACCCACAGCCACATGGCTGGTTTGTGGGGGTGGGGGGGGCGATGGATGCCCGTAGGTGGAGCCGGGATGTTGACTTGACAAGCAAGTGAGACGATCGGAACAAACGTTTGCGCGACACGGGTAAAATAATTGGTCGATCGCATTGGGCAATTGTTGAATGTTGCGATTTGTGACTAACAGTAGCCCTGAAAGGGTATTTCGGGCCAAATCTATTTGTGGTTGAAGTGTCAACAACTTTTGGTAGGGCGCGAGGCTCTAACATGTTTCCCCCGGCCTAGGCTAATCGTTTCGGCGCAGTTTTGGCCAACGGTGGCTCCCATCCGCAAGCGCCGCTGACTTTATAACTTTGCGTCGACCGCGCCGCTGGATGCTCTGCTCCGCCCAAAGACCGCCACGGCTTTTCAAAGAGCGAGGTCACGCCAAACCATCTGGCCGTGGGTCAAAATCCTGTACCCTCTGTGAACATCCCAATCCCCACTACATAGACTGAAATGGGTGGTGCGCCTACCAACCAAAATGGTACCATTAGTTTTGACCCACAGCCATTTGGCAAAGGCCTGCTTCCATTTAAAGCCCAGCCAAGTTTGCACGCTTGCGCTGTTTCGAGCAATCGGCGCAAGGACTTGGACTTTCTTTGTCCATCGGACAGCTTTCGGATCTTGGACGCGTTGCTGAAAGTCAAAAAGGCGAAGCCAGTGTTTTGATTTTGCCAAATCTAGAGTTCCAGTGAGAACTTGGTGGCTCCCAGCCATCCGGTTCCTGAGCCTTTTAGCTTTTTAGTGTTTAAATTCCATTTAACCCACAAAAAGTTAGTCACTTTTAGCGGGGGATCGGAAAACGGGCAGCCCAGAAAGTGAAAACTTTCTCTGTGCCGACTCGTCAACGACTGCGCTTGGGCTATTTTCAACGCCGCTTCATTGCGTAGAGCTTCGCCGCTTCGCCCTGGCGAGGCGCCAGCCTCGCCAAAGGTGAGGCTGTGGTGTCGACTGGTGTCAAAGTAAAAGAAACCGGTGGCGTTTCCCTAGGTCCCAGTAGTGCCCTTTACCAACTTTTTTGGGGGGAGGGTTCCCCTACAAAAGTAGACTACACAAAAAAGTTGGTATCATTTAATGGCCTGCGGCCTGGTTCCGCCGCCCCCATAACATAGACCTTCGAATTTCGGCCCGGGGCGAGAGAAGCACGCATGCACAGAGCCGTTCGCGGACACGAAGACAGACGCAGATACGTAGACAGCAACAGACACAAAGAGACATGCGGGGGAGGGGGAGGGTCTTCGCGGGCACGAAGACAGACGCAGATAGACACAAAGAGACACAGACAGACACGGGGGGGAGGGTCTTCGCAGACAGACGCAGATAAGTAGACGGAACACACAGACAGACACAAAGAGACACGGACAGACACGCAGAGGGGGGGGGGGGTCTTCGCGGACACGAAGACAGACGCAGATACGTAGACAGACACAGACAGACACAACGAGAGAAGACAGACGCAGACAAGTAGACAGACACAGACAGACGCAGATACGTAGACAGACACAGACAGACAGACAGATACAAAGAGAGGGGAGGGGAGGGGGGGGAGGGGGGGGAATGGGGGGAGGGCAGACATCCAAAGATCCCGACATCCAGACATCCAGAAATGCAGAAATGCAGACATCCAGACATCCAGACATCCAGAGATGCAGAGATCCAGAAGTCCAGCCGACGTATTTTCCCGCCCCAAGGGACATATATATATATATATATATATATGTATATACTCTTATTCACATTAAACGTATAGAACACATATCAACAAAAGCAACACAGAACACACCGCCCCCATGCCGAAAGCATTGTCCATTCTGGACCAGGCATGGGGTCGGCGGATTCGATCCTCTATGCAGGACCTGGTCCCCTTTGACCAAAGATAAAAACAATGAAACATGGGCCAGTCTGTGTCAACAGACTGGACCATGTCGCCACTCCCCGACATGCGGTGAACATATCCCCGCGTAACGGTGGCGGCACTTTTTTCTTTGCCATTAAAGGTCGGGGTTAGAGCCGGCAGTGTCTGTTTCAAGTGGCGCTTCCGACCTGTGGCAAATATGACTCGGTGTCACAAAGTGACTTCAGCTAGGGCCAGGCTTGCCAGATATGGCCGCCGAAATGCTTTTATAGGCTGCTCGACCTCCAGCGCCCAGTGCAAAATAGCCGGCGTGCGAAGTTGGACGCCGCTTGCCGGCAGTTTGGGCTCACCTTGCAAATGAGCATTTGCGTGTTGCCGGGATTTTCCTGATGTGAGCGCGGGCTTTGTTTGTGTTGGTGTTTTACAGGTGCAGCGAGAAGCAGCAGCCGTTTTGATGCCTTGTCTGGCAAGTACATCTCCTTAAAAGAGGGAAACTGACAGAATCTACTTGGCATTGAGACGGTTGCTGGCACAGCCTTGCAAGACCGTGAGTCTCAGTGGGATCGTTCGCCGCTGGAATTCACATGGCCTTGCAAGGAGGCTGGACAACTTCATTGCGATGACCGCACTCTCAGGCCAGGATGGTGCAGTTGGCAGTTGGCATGGAATTAGAGGAGCCTAGGTCCCCAGTATTGCCCTTTTACCATCTTTTACCAACTTTTTTTGGTTGGGAGGGTTCCCCTACTAAAATAGACTACAGAAAAAAGTTGGTACCCTTATATTATTCTAACCTCTCTCCTACCTAGGAGCATCTCCCCAGGGTCTCCCAACAGCCATCAAGTCACAGGTGCGACATCAAGTCATGCGAGTCTACCAGTGGAAAATACATCGGTGCGGGTCAAAAATGCGTAGTGGGTCAAAAATGGGGTAACCCCCAAATGGCTTGCCCTAGTAAATGGAAACAGGGACAAAAACCTGCGTTTTTTTTTTGTGAATTAATTTTGACCCATACCCACGTGGCTATGCCGGAGATTCCACAATCCGGCGATGGTGATGCCCGGGTGGTCGTTTTGGGACTACCTCAGCAATCAATCTGTCATTTACGGTGAAGGGCACACTCAACTTGTTGGCATATGTCTTCCGTTTGCTTAAGAAATGTCTTCTGTTTCCGCACTTTTGCACATGTTTGTTTATTTTTCCAGGAGTGTGAAGCAAGTGGAGGTAGTCCATCGGGAATTGGGACATTGGAGGAATGAGCTTTGTCTGCCAAACGAGCAGTTGGATTGCTCCGCCAAACTCGCCGGGTGGCATTTTGAGGAGTGGCGATCATTGGGCGACGGCTGCGGAAGAGGTCTATAGTAGCAATCCCTGTATATAAATCTGTGTAACCATGTTAGTACCAAAAGTCAATTGGTTTTGTGCGCCCAATTGGCTTTGCATTGGGACACTTCCAAGCGAGGGTTTTTCGGGTGCTTCGTCCAATTGGAATGGACATATGGTTCTGGATCCGTGTGGAGTCCAAATTGGGCAACAAAAAAAACAGTCAACCAAACGAGGTTTCCTTTCATGAGGTTGAGTTTCACCCGAAAAACCTGCCCCAGGACTTTCACAAAAAAGAATCCCCGGGTGACTGTTCCCCAAGCAGGTTGGTTGTTCTTTGTCCCAGGTCTTCCGCCGTTTTTTGCGGGGTCTACCCTCAAAAAGCCCAAAGTCCGGAGCTGCGAGCCGAGGCATCCCTGCGTCCTCGAGCTCCAGCAGTTCCTCCAGGCGTCGCGATCCGAGCGATCCGAGCGATCGGCCCCCGAGAAAACAAAAAAACAAACCAAGCTGGGGGTTAGCTGAGTTTACTGGTTTTGGTGGCAAGCCCAGCCATCCGGTTCCTTAGCCTTTTAGCTTTTTAGTGTTGAGTGGTAGTTTCCATTTAACCCACTAAAAGTTAAACTTTTAGCGGGGGATCTGAGGGCAGCCCAGTGGTGTCTTTCCTTTCAGGAAGAACCAATTTACTGGTGGGTTTCCCGAGAAAAAGCACATTTGACTGGTGGGTTTGGTGTCCTTTCACGAATTCTCCAAAAAAGGTCCTTCAACCACATGACTGTTTCTTTCCTTTCGGGAATCCCCCAGAACCGGGTCCTTCAACCACCGGGACCCTAGGAGAATCCTTTGAGGACAGGCGCCACAAAATCTGTCTGGCGAGTTGGGAACGGATCTTCCTTTTGGTTGAACCAGCTCGGATTGCCTATAAAGTAAAAACGAAGAAACCCGAAGAAGGATGGTGTTCTTAACATCAGAAAACAACCCTTGCCCACAGTTCTTCAAACCCAAAGCAGGTCTCGGTCTCCATGGCACATTTGCTGTAAGTCTGTCAACCAGAAATTCCAAGGCGGGATCTTTGGGGGTACCATGTGAGAGGCTTCCAAACTTCGAGGAAAACAGTTGGACGGCCGATTTTGAGGCAGAGCCTCATCTCTTTGAACCGTGCCAGGACCAGAACGACACGCAGAAGCGCTCGACGGGGCCTTATCCTGCAATCGTGGTTCCCTCACACGCGTGCTTTCAGGGTTCCATGGTTACCCGGCAACTTGAAGCAAGCGGTTAGTTCCCAGAAGGAAGGCCTGGGTTTAATCTCGGGGGTAGACCATCAGAACCCTGCGCGCAATTCGTTGGCCCACATCTAATTCCAGAGCGTGCTTGATAACTAACAAAACCCGAGATCAGATCCGAGAATCATCACCCAAGATCCGAGAATCGAGAATCCAGAGTTTCTTCGAAGCAGCCACGCGGTTTTATCCGCTGGAGGCGAAGGACTCTCAGCAAGCCTGATGACATTTGGTGTCCGTTTCCCTGAGCGGCCATGGCGCCTCCCGAGGCTTAGAGTTGCGTGGCCAGTCACGGAGATAGTTTTAGACCTTAAGAAGCTGCCTGGATCGCTTTTTTCCATCCACTTTACCCCAAAAGCCAGCAACAGGGACTGAAAAAAGCAGCAACTTGGCTATCTAGGCGGGCATCCAACCTTCGTGCTGCACCTGAGATGAAGTCAACGCACGTCAGCTTCGCGGCTTCAAGGCACCCCGCGTCCGCTCAACCCGCTCAGCGCTGTCTCACGCCAGCCACATGATAAACGCACCCGCTCAGCAGTGCCCGCTCAGCGCTCCACGCATGATTGATGATAAGCGTATGAAGAATGAGACCCAGACGCGCGATCAGTCGAGGCAGAGACTTCAAACACCAAACACCATAGGCTTCCAACCTCACCCTACCCCCAACTCCACCCCACCCAACCCCACCCAACTCCACCCGACTCACCAACTGCACCACTTCATCTTCCAATTCCCCCTGCCTCCAACCCAACTGCGCCCGAATTCCAGCCCCACCACACCCACCACGCGAACCAAGCATTCATATGGCTGGGAAGAGCATGAGAGAAGCATGGATCAGTGGAGAGGCTTCCCCAAAAGCAATCATAAGCTCAGGTGATATCCCCAACAGCATGCGGTACTCTTTTTAGTGCTCGCACCACCCCACAACCCTCGCAGAACCCTCGCGAAACTCTGGTGGAACCCTCGTGGAAACCGGAACCCTGGTGAAACCCTGGTGGAACCTTACCACAGGGCCGCCCCAGACCACCCCGGAGCCTATCTGGGCTGAGACCCCAAAGCTTCAGCTGTTGGGAAACAATTAAAGTGAATGAAGCCTCTTCCCATCCCCACGGCATCATCACTGATCAATTTCCAATGTATTTATTTGTTGTCATCTCTTCTTCTTTCACCAGTCCTCGCCTATCATTTCCTTTGCATGCGAGGTCTGAGGAAGCAGGTAAAATCCCGTCTATAGCTCACATTAGAAAAAGATAAGCAAGAATGAGCTTGGTTTTGTCCGTTGGTTAGCTGGTTTTGCTCGCTGATTGGTTGGGCTTGGTAGTCGGGTTCCAGTCGGTCGGCATCACTCCCGTAGTAGTAGCGAAACAAGTCGGGTGAACGTAGATGGCCCGGCAATTCGATTTACTTGTATAGGGCAACCAAGGGAACCACGCTTGAAGTTTGGAAAGGAAATGGCGGGTTACCTACTATAGGGTGAACTGGGTGGTGCAATCCATGGTTTCATCATTCCTTTTCATCCCTTGCCGAAAGGGAAATGGCGCCATCAACTTTTGGTGTAATCCGGTTGAAAGTGCATGAACTTCACAAACAGTTTGGTCCACTCATTACCCTCCCAACAAACGTGATGAGAGTTCGCCCATGCAACACGCGTGGCCTTGGAAACCAGTCAGCGCATTGCCAGCCATGAGAGTGTGACCAATCGATACCAAACGTGGAACCTGGCTAGGGGTGGTTTCCAAAGCAATGCTTTGTCTCTCTTTTTTTCCGTGTACCCGTTTGGGGGTGGTTTAATGAGAACCACCAGTTTGGCCCCCTAAAAAGAGACCCAAGTCTATGTTCCGGTTTGCCGGATGAGCAAGTTGGATGGACTTTCCAAGAATGGTTGGGCCAACTTCGACGATGAAATTCAGGTAAACACTGGTTCTATGAACCCAACCATGTTTGTTTATTTTTATTTTTTTGCAGGACCTTGTTCCCCAACAGCTGAAAGCTTTGGGGTCTCAGCCCAGATAGGCTCCGGGGTGGTCCGGGGCGGCCCTGTGGTAAGGTTTCACCAGGGTTCCACCAGGTTTCCACGAGGGTTCCACCAGAGTTTCGCGAGGGTTCTGCGAGGGTTGTGGGGTGGTGCGAGCACTAAAAAGAGCACCGCATGCTGTTGGGGATATCACCTTATTTTGAGCACCTCTTTAGGCAAAGAGACTAAGTCAGGAAACAAGTGACTGTTTCCTGACACGCCCCTTTCCCATTCGAGTTTCCTGTAGATTGTCCTGTAGTTGTTCCTGTAGATTTTCTGTAAGCAAATCCTTTGAATGAACCCAACCATTGCTTTGCTGGATTGAATTGGACCTCGTTTTGGGCAATTGGCGACTTTCTGTGCGTCCGGCTTCAGGACGGCCCTCTCCTGCGTGAATCAGGTGATGGAGACTTCCCAGGACTGAAAGAGAGACGAACATTGCAGCGGTGTTCGTTTGATTCGCAACATGTTGCGGTTTTTGGGGCAATATGCTTGGTTTAGTCTTCCTGTTTTGTGCTTTTGGTTGGTTTAGTTTTTGTGTTTTGTGTTTTGGTTGGTTTAAAGTATATTTGTTTTGTGTTTTTGGTCCTTGGAATTATTGTGGTCGGTATTTAGTTTTTGTGTTCTGTGTTTTTGTTGGTTTAGTTTTTGTGTTTTGTGTTTTTGCTTGGTTTAGTCTTTGCGTGTTTGGTCGTTGGAATCATTCTGCTGGGTATTTAGTGTTCGTGGTTTGTGCTTTTGGTCTGGTTGGTTTAGTCTTTGCGTTTTCGGTCCTTGGAATCATTCTTTGTTGTGCAACGGCCACGCGTTTTTTGGAGAGGGGTTCGCTTGCAGGTGGCTTCATATGGGCGGAAAGAAGCCAAGCGGGCACTGAGGTTTGGACGGGACACTCTTGCATGTGAAAAACTGGGGGGGGGGGGGGGGTGCATGGCGGGGTCCTTTTTGGTTCAAAATGCCAACATGCAGTCCAGAAAGGCGTTCCCCAATGGACACGTGCGTGCCGTTGGGCTAATTTCGGGGCGGAACGCCATATCTAAGAGGGGTGGAGCGCATGGAACCTACATGTATCAATTTAGGGGGATTCGCCCGACAAAAAAAGGTAGTGGCGTTCCTTTTGGTTTCCCTGTAAGCCAACCCCAAAGAGGGTAGCCTCAAAAATAACGACTTGGAGCTGCGAGGACTACTGGGAGCTGAAAAACATGACGCACTTGCTCCTGGACTTGGACACGAAGGTCCATGTCTTCGACAAGGCGGGTCTCTTCTTTTTTTGTGCGTGTGTGTGTGTGTGTGTTGGTGTGTGTGTTGGTGTTGGTGTTGGTGTTGGTGTTGGTGTTGGTGTTGGTGTTGGTGTTGGTGTTGGTGTTGGTGTTGGTGTGTGTGCGTGTGCGTGTGCGTGTGCGTGTGCGTGTGCGTGTGCGTGTGCGTGTGCGTGTGTGTGTGTGTGTGTGTGTGTGTGTGTGTGTGTGTGTGTGTGTGTGGTTGTGTGTGTGTGTGGTTGTGTGTGTGTGTGTGTGTGTGTGTGTATGTGTGTGTGTGTGTGTGTGTGTGTGTGTGTGTGTGTGTGTGTGTGTGTGTGTGTGTGTGTGTGTGTGTGTGTGTGTGTGTGTGTGTGTGTGTGTGTGTGTGTGTGTCTGTGTGTCTGTGTGTTGGTGTGTGTGTGTGTCTGTGTGTTGGTGTGTGTGTCTGTGTGTCTGTGTGTGTGTGTGTGTGTGTGTGTGTGTGTGTGTGTGTGTGTGTGTGTGTGTGTGTGTGTGTGTGTGTGTGTGTGTGTGTGTGTGTGTGTGTGTGTGTGTGTGTGTGTGTGTGTGTGTGTGTGTGTGTGTGTGTGTGTGTGTGTTTGGTGTGTTTGGTGTGTGTGTGTTTGGTGTGTGTGTGTGTTTGGTGTGTGTGTGTGTGTTTGGTGTGTGTGCGTGTGTTTGGTGTGTGTGTGTGTGTGGTGTGTGTGGGTGTGTGGGTGGGTGTGGGTGTGTGTGTGTGAGTGTGTTCTTGTGTGCTTGTGTGCTTGTGTGCTTGTGTGCTTGTGTGT